ACAGAGGCACACCGGGCTGCCCCTTATCCATCCCAAAGCCAGCAGCTTTAGGAGAAGAGAAGCCCATCAAGGCTCGGCAAGCAGCCCAGGGAGAGCCCTCTGCTCTCCAGGCCCCCCAGCATCGCGCCCTGCTCCTGTGGAAGGGACTGCAGCATCTCCTGGACCATAGCCCTGGGCCACGACCTGCAGCTGCAGAGCAAAAAGCAAGGGTGCAGAGATGCTGCTGGACAACAGACCAAACGCTGCCTGCTTCTCCATCCCTTCAGTCCAGCATGACACCAAGAGAAATACTTGCATATGAATTATTATTTGCTGCAAGTAATTGTTGTTGTGGAAGCTTCTATATTAAATCACGCTGCACAAAAGTTTTATGGATAGAATAGTGAAAACAAACTTTTTTTCATGTGTGTTTGCATTTCAGCAAAGCTTTGAAATCCAGATCAATTAGTGCATGAAATGTTGTGTCTGCCTTCTGGGAGTATGTGCTGAGCCTGGGCCACCGGCAATTGCAAAACCATTTGTGGCAGTTTGACACTCCCTACTTAATTATGGGGCATCGTTATGCTTTGTGCTCAGGATTCAACGGGCGGTACAGCAGGTGGGCGGCTGTCCTGTGCATCGCCCGTGAGCGCGCCGGGGCTGCAGAGAGGGCAGCCGGGCAGCACCGTGGGGAGCAATGAGAGCAAATGGCTTTTGATAACTTTGCTTGAGAAATGACAGGCTTGGCTTTAAGTAAAGCTTTGGCTTGTTCCTCAGGGAGAATATTTATGATGTACTTGCTTGTTTGATGCTGGGCAAGCTCTAGCCTACAGCAATGCATTTCTGTTGCACAGCGAGGGCTGTCCCTCTGCTCCGTGCCCTGCCCTGCTCTAGCTGCCGTCCCGGCGCTGGGACGGAGCGGGGGAGGCTGCGGGGGGGCAGGACCACACCGACCCCTCAGACTCTGCCTCCGACGCGCTGCCTCGCACCCTTCCCTCGGCCGGGCCCTCCCCCCGCCCCCCCCCGGCGCCACCACG